GGGGGAGGTCAGCTCATGTGGCCTCATTTCTCTCAGGTGAGCTAATGGCTGCCGAGGGAAGAGCAGACATTTTCTTCAGTGATGTAGCCACTGGTAGGTTGTCGATGCTCTTCTAAATAACCCCTCCCCATACGCCTGTATGCAAACCTGATTAAACTCACTGGGCCACCAGTAAAAAAAGACAGGAGAGTAGAGGGGGATGAGCTGGGAAGAGGACAAGAGTCAGTGGGAGTAGAAGGGGGACAAGCGAGAATAACGGTGGGTGAATAGGACCAAAATACATTATATTACATGCATGAAAATATTGCAGTGAAACCGACTACCATGTATAGTTATTGTTAACAGAGAAACTGAAAAGGCATCCCATTATTATTCCAATGGGAATAATCAGTAGTTGAGGAATTGAAACATGTAAAACAGGATAGCATCTGCTATACAGTAAACACTCAGTGAAATGTGGTGCCCATAAAGCAAAACAAAACTCCATGTCTTTAACAATCATCCTGAGTCACGTTTATGATAACTGAAAAGCATAGGAATAACCACTTGAACGCATTTAAATATTTCACTTTAATATAACCACCTCATCCTCCCCCTCTCTCTTACACACACACACACACACACACACACACACACACACACACACACACACACCCCTTTTCAGCTTTGTAAGCTGGCTTGTACTCACACACTCCCTGCATATCTTTATTCCTTTTATCTTCCTCACATCAATGTCTTAAAAGGGTTTTTAAAATGTTATCTATGTAGTGTTTAGATTTTACATTCTGAACCCGCTTTTCATGCTGATTTTTCTTCTATTTTAGAACATCTTTGAGAGCCTCTCTCCCTCTCTCCTTCTTTCTCTCTCTCTCTTTCCCTCCCTCCCTCCCCCTCTCTCTTCCCCTCCCCCTTTAAATTGAGTGGAAGTGATTTTTCTTTTACTTGCCCACAGCCTGCTTTCTCATGAGTCCATTTTGCTTTGTGTTCATTGGGACATAGAACTGCTTTGCAAATCTCCTGCTCTGTCTGTTCTCTGAATGATTGTCAGCTACTGGGGGAAAAATAACAAGGATCCAGCTTTCATTTCTTGTGTAATTTCTCTGCTGAGCCTAGAAGATCGACTAAGACTGAGTGGCATAAGGTACGCTGCATGCAGGGGTGCCTAATAAATATTTTAAAACAGCATTAAAGTGTTGAATAAATTTGACAGCAGTACAGTTGCTCATCACGTCAGTGCCAACACTTTCTAGGTCCTGCCTCTGCCTAGCAACCATTCTCCCCCCCCCAGACCTACACGGCCCCAGAAGGTTCAGCCAGACTGAAGCTTTTTTTTTTGATCCAGCTTTCCTTGCTGGAGTTTATGTGGTATTGTTTTGGTTGTTGCCTCCTGAGGAGTGTTTTATGGGTTCCTGAAGACCCTGCTGTGTGCCTTGAAGTTGCTTTTTCCCCTTAATGGTAGTGTGTGTGTTTGTGTGTGTGTGTGTGTGTGTGTGTGTGTGTGTGTGTGTGTGTGTGT